CTTTGTACAAATGCACATTTTTTTCATTTGAAGCCCATAGCAACTGGTGCTGATTAAGCTACGTCAGTTGTTCTGTATTTTGAAATCAAAGCAAGAATGCCATGTTTTCTGCGTTAAACTAAAAGATGTAACTTAAACAAGAGCCCCAGAACATTTCTATCTACTTGTGCAGAAGGATTTTTGTTTGTGAGTGAATCAAGCTAAACAAGCTACTTGGATTAAAATTCACATTCCCTTGCGCACTGTGGTTATGGAAAATTCAGGGATAGAGTGTGCCATCGTGTAAAGTTTTTCCAAGGTGACACACATTTGGCAATCTGAACAGTTCATTTTGCCATATATCAGTACTTTCTGCTTAAAAGCGTCTGTGATCCTTCTGTTTGATTCACTGTGCAGTCTGCCTCCATCAGAAAGAGTCGATCTTGGCTGCCCTCAATCGCTGCCCACTCCAGACATTGTTCATCTCTCTACTGCATTTGCAGTGTCTTTTAGACTCTCACTCTCTGTACCTAATCTGCTGCCATTCAAGGAGTCTCAAAGTGCCCTTTAGGAAAGTCATCTGAAGACATGACTCCTATTGCTGATGTCTCGATGCATAGTTGGCCATTTTTTTTGGCCGTTCCTCTATGTTCTGTGTTAGACGCAAAGTCAAAGACACTGGAGGTGCCGTGCAGCTCACTGTCCCAGAGCACTGAGAGTGCTAAGGAGAGTTCCCATCCAGAGACCAGCTGAGGAAATGGCTTTGCATGGGGAGTTATTCAGTGAAAACATCCAGGAAGACAATTATATCCACGTGCCTTTATCAAAATCTTAAGAATGTTTTGTTAATTTCACAGAAACAAATTCCGTTCAAATGTGTTGCAATTTGAGCAGGGCGTAGAAGACATCCAAAGGGGGGGTCAATACTTTCTACACTCACTGTAAATCTAGACTCAACCCCTTTCTGCTCTGAAAGGCTTTTACTTAGTGCGTGTGTGTCTGCGATATTTTCTGATGTCTGCTGAACTTCTAACCAAGTTTCTTTCTTATACAGTATGTACTTAACTTTGTAATTTAACTAGCGCTTTGAAATAATGTATTATGATGATGATGATGATGATGATTATTATTATTATTATTATTATTATTATTATTATTATTATTATTATTATTATTATTATTATTTCATGCCTGGGTTTCTGGTTTGGCTAGTCATTTCCCCATATTTGGGGGACCCCCTTCATCTTCACCCGACCCTACTTCCAGTTGGCAGCTTGTCAGCACGTGTCCAGGCATTGAGCCTCACCCAGAACCTTGCAAACAAAACCAATATGCTAGATTTATTTTGCCACTGTATTCCAGTGCCAACAATCATCAGGATGTTTTTAAAGCGACATGGAGAATCTACAATTATCAATACACAAGACCATCTCTGTTGTTTGTTATCTTTTAAATTGGGAACTGTTCATGTCTTCCATTACAAAGAATTGTGTTTGCCATGCAACATTTACACGATGTGTTCACTACAGTATGTCTGACTGTGCCAATGGAAAAATAACATCAGTTCGGAAAAAATTCAATTGCATGAAAGAGCTAAGCTCTGTTCCTAAATTATCTTTGTGCAGACTGCACACTGGGATCCCATAGGTAAAAAAATTAATATAATTAAATCCACAACAGCTTACATGTCTTGGCTTCGGCTTAGTGCAAATAACAGCTTTTACAGTTTGAAATTTCTTACTGTTGATTCAAATCTAGAGCTCCCTTTTCTCCCTAAATGTCCAGGCTACACTACTTTCAACTGTGTTTGATTTGCACAAGAATTGTTAGCTATACTGCAGGGTGTGAAGCAACAAAATGCATACATCTGTCTGTGGTTGATTCTAACATGTTTTTAATGGGATAGAAAGTTAAATAAACATTTCAGATGTAATCATCAATACGCAAATGTTTCTGGTTGGTGTCAGATGGAGAGATCTTATTTGTCCTTTGCCTTCAGATTCCCAATTTCACGTTTTTTTTGTTCTGATCTGACTAATCCACATTACTGCTGTCTCAATCTGTGGGATTCTTACTCTGAGTAAGAGATTTCGGGTGAGATACTGGAATTTAAGCTTATTCTTCAACTTGAGTCCCAAAACTACTAAAGTTCAGTTAAGACTAATATGCTTGTGTTATGTTCAGAATAGTACCCAAGGCCTCAGTGATGCACAATCCATCTGTCAGTGTGATGTAGCCTACCCACGCAAAGTCAAAGAAAGTCATATCCTCTGACAGCAGAAAGTAAATAATATAAACTTGTTTATTAAGCAATACCATCCCAGCGTGAGTCCTAACCACTTTGCAGAATCAACTGTTAGCAAAAAGTCAGTATGCTGTATAATTAGTAGAGTGAGCAGCTGGGATCTGTCATTGAGAATAACTTCTCCAGAGTGAGGTGTCATTGATGCAGATTACTAATGGAATGAGGATGTGGTTTTTTAACACTGCTCAAGAACTACTAATGATACTGTCCACTTGACTGTTTTTTTTCTTTGTAGCTTATTTGGCTGCTAGTAGCTAACTTGATCCAAGGGTCTCGTCCAGCGTTTTCATGAAAGAGGCCAAGGTTCCAGCTTCAACAACAGAACTGAGGAGCTTTGTACCTCAGTCCTTTCTGTAAAAAGAAAAGCACCTCCTGTTCTCAGTTTTTAACTCCTGTCCCTGGAGTTTCCACTTGTGTCCCCTGGTTTGTGTTTCACTGTTGGTTCTGAAAAGGTCCAGCTCATTGACACCAAGGATTCATAACACATGGATCAGGTGCCTTCATACACTCCTTTGTTAAAAGACTCAGAGGGCGGAGCAGTGGCTCTGTGGCTCAGGATCTGTAGCTGGAAGGTTTCTGGTTCAAATCCTGCAGCCGGCAGAGGAATCCTACTCCGTTGGGCCCCTGAGCAAGGCCCTTAAACCCCAGGGGGCACTGTACAATGGCAGACCCTGCGCTCTGACCCCAGGCTCTCTCCCTGTCTGTGTGTCTCATGGAGAGCAAGCTGGGGTATGCAAAAAGACAAATTCCTAATGCAAGAAATTGTAAAGGGTTAATAAAGTGATGTTATACTGTTCTTTAAGGCTGTCAGTGCAGAACATTACTTGAAGGCGGGTTTAATGTATCTGCTTGCTCTTCTTGGGTGTGGGATAACTTCTGTTTCTTACAGGTTGCCCCTGGAATTGAGGTGCAAGCACTAAGCTAGTGGGATCCTCTGAAGTTCTGTTTTTTCTGGGTAGTGGGAGTCCTCCTATTGTCTTTTCTCATTGTGCACGTCCCCTGCAGTTTATGCACTGGTATTCCTTTCCAAGTTAAAATGTCTACTAGAATTGTCTCTAGATATCCTCGCCTGCAAGGTGATGGGACTGCTTCTCATGCAGTTGCACAGTTCTCCACATCTGCACACAGAGCCCTCGCTACCCAAGGTGCTCCAGAGGCAGAGAGCGGCCTGCCCTTGGCCAGGCGTTCTGCCTTGCATTCTGGGATTGGTGTTTGCAGTTGCTTTCCTTTGCAAGGTAGAGCAAGGGACCCCTGAGGAAACCAGTGATTTGCATCGGCCTTTCAGCTTCTGTTCAAGGTCTTTGTTCATGACGGCGTGCTGCTCATGCCAGCGTTGTTTGTGCCCGACACAAACAACATCCACTGGGCTGGGAGCCTTCTCCTCTTTCATTAACGTCAGTGACCTTGGCTCCTGGAGAACAGCCTGGCTGCAGGTCTCAGTTGCAGTCGGTCCAACAACCACCTCTTGTTCCTTTTCTGCTTGTTTTTTTTTCAATGCAAAATGAACATGGTCATTTGGCAAGATACTACTGAGAGGAGCTCCCCTGGCAGGAGAAAAGGTCTGTCTATGAACAATGCCCGAGCCGGACAGATTTTAGAATCCAGTCACATTTTCAATCTATTAATCAATTAAGAAACGAGCAGAATTCCCTGATGAAGTGGTTCTTTACAATAGTTAGGCCATTCCTGACATACCTCAAACAGTTCAGGTCTCACCACGAGAAAAACGTCTACCAGGGCCTTCAAGAAGATTAGCTGGCCTGACTCCCAGATTGAAGAGCAGGGAGCGATTATCATTTGCTTACAGAATGAAAGCTTTCGAAACTTCGGAAAGGTACAGACGACATAATAGAGGCGGTCCTGCAGTCAGGAAACAATAAGATTATCTATCCAGGAAATCTTTTGGCCTTACCACCCTTATAAAAGATAACAGCGGAACGCCTCAGTCAAATCTGAGAAGAATGTTGCACAGCAAGGGGTGTGGTGAAACACGGTAAGGTGGATACAAGGGAATATTCTGGGCACAGTCCTTGCAAACTTGCAACAGTACTGGTGCAATGGTACAAGGTGTATTCTTGGTACAGTCGTCGTAAAGAGGTCCCGAGATGATTGACCATAGCAGACTTTCATGGTAACACGCGTGCAGGTGAACGCCCTCCACACCTCCACATGCAAATCCCAGGAGATCAGGGGAGAGCTTTCTGTTCTCGTCCTCCAGGACTGTGGCATGATCTCTCAGCCTAAGAAAGTCAGCGCTTTAAAATCCTGTTTCGACGCACGTGTTGATATTATTATTGTAGTAGTAGGTGTTGTTGTTATGCGTGCACCGCTGCAAAAAATACACGTAATAGCATAAAAGGAAGTTTATCCCAGAAAACATTTCCACCTTGTTTAATCCAGCCGTAATTTGTTTTATGGATGAAATGACTAGTCCTAAATGCAAATACATTTTTCTTCCTTCCCAGAATATCCGTGGTAGGAACTGCTAAAAGAAAATCACGAGCCACCTTTACTCAACTTGAATGGGTAGCTGAGCTGTTTCTGAAACATCTGCTTGCAGAACGTGAGCACGGCTGTTACCTTCATTCATATTCATAAATGTTAAACGTCTTTTCATGTGCCTTTGATACTAACTCGGGGGACCGGGTAGCGAGGACCCTTTAAGACGGCGACACCCCCTGATTGCTCCACGCTATTCCGATCCAATTGATTGCTGGGAGCCGGAGACAGGCCCATTTTTCCGTGTTTTCCCCGCCGCTCCGCCAATCGGAAGGAAGCTCTCGCCGTCTAAACTGCGGGGCTCCGGCGAGCGCAGGGTGACGCGTTCTCGGCGAGTGGAGTCGGGGGAGCGGAGTCGACAGACGTGTGCGCTGAATTTAAGCGGCGGAAAGCACCAAAGGCTGGACCCCACAGGGGAAAAAAAAAATTGGAGAGGGAGGAATGCATGGGGAATCGCCGCACAGCCCTCTTAACTTAGCCTAGCGCTAGTGTAACCCGTCTGCGTTGGACTGTGGATCAGCTCTGCTTGGTACGTGATGTTTTGCAAGTTAGATTTTTTTTTACTAGTGCCAGAAAAGGCGCCGATCGTTCAGTATTATCGTGGAAGTACTGCAGGACTTTACTGGGGAGGTATCACCCGGAGAGGCGAGTTACCGAGACTGTTCATTCCTTGCATTAGTTAAGAGTGCTTGCTTTAATTTCTTTTTTGCGGGCTACTCTGTTGCGGCGCTCGGAATTCGCGTGTTTTCAATTCCCTGGTTGTTTATTTACTCTTCCACCGGAAAATAAACGTGTTGGGGGTTTTTAATTTGTATTTTGGGCTTGTTAGCTCTAACAAATCCATGCCTTTTCGGTTGATAGTGTAGTTACATAAATCCTACACTGGCTTTTCCGGAGGTAGGCTACTGAGGTCAGTCGATTCGTAAACTGAAGAAGGCTTTGTCATTTTGGATATTAAATCGGTTTCAAGCTAATATTATCTCCTACGAAGAAATGCTTGTTCTAAACTGTGATATGAAGTCAATCATGGTTATTGATGACTAATTCTCGGTTTGTAGCTTCACAACCGACGCAGAGTGGTATTATCGCGTTTTGTGTGCCAACAAACCCTGAATTGGAAGTCGAGAATCAAAAGGTACCGAGCTGATATGACGCGTCTTTGCATTTATGGAAATGTAGCGTATTTGTAACTGTGATATTCATATCATTTGGGTTTTTTTCCCTTGCAAAATAAGTTTGGATACGTATTTTCATATTTAAATTCCATCGAAATGGAGCCATTCCTAGTCATAGCTGTACTGTAGTTGCAGCCGAATATTGATTTTGTCTGCGCCGTCAAATAGCCACACGTGCTTAAAGTTCTTTAAAACCGTTTTATCGTTAATTTTCTGCCTGGTTAAGTCTTTGCTTCAGATGTGCGCTACTGTTTTTTTTTTGTAAATAACGATTTCATGTTTCTGCGTTTACGCTGGGTATTTCATCGGTCAGCTTTGAGTTTTGGAGGCTCTTTGAAATTTTATATTAACTCATGTTTGTTTATGTGTGTGTCAACTCCCTCAGTTTTCAAAACCAAGGTGTCGCAGAAGACGATTAGTGGTAACGCGCAGAGTTAGAGCCAACCGTATAGATCACCAAGCGAGGTGTGATTGCGGACTTATCGTCTCGACTAGTCTAGAAACCAAATTGTTGAATTCAGGCATTGATGTTTGCGATGTGGGACTGTCCTGTTGACATTTGGGCTGTGCGTCCTGTTGTTCAGGATGGGAAGATGACACGTTTATGACATTTGAAAAGAAGTACAAATATGCGCTTTGAGGTGTAGCGGTCTACTGAACCTGTAGACACTGAAGTTTGCTAGGTCGCTTTTGTGTGGTGTTGACTCTGTTACATCATGCAGGATATCAAGATCTAGTGCCATTTGTCTTAATCAGTGGTGATCTTAAGTGCACAGAGCAGCTCAGCTCTTGTACGAATAGCTTGATTACTGTAAGACAAAATACCTTTACAGATTTTAGCCCAAGAATATTGCAACTCCCAATGGTCTCGACAGTGTATGGGGAATATAGGAATACAGGAATGTTTATTGAAGGAGATCGGTTTAAAAAAAGTCACTGCTGTCTGTGTGAGGCCGTTATAAGACTCAGTGGAGAGGCTCAGTGACCGTGGCTCTGATCGCAGTGTTCCCAGTCTGAGGCTGTCGGTGACTTGAGCTGTTCAGCTGATGGTTACCATCCGTCTGGCTTTTCCCAGAATCCTCTCCTTTTTGGTCCTTAAATCTCCATCTAGGAAGAATTTTTGTATTTTTCTTCCCCCCCGAAGTGTTTCAGTTTGAGGCTGCACAGTGACAGTGGCTAGTACTGCTGCCTCACAGCACTGTGGCCCTGGGGTCAATTCTGTACCTCAGCTGCTATCCGTGTGGAGTTTGCATGTTCTCCCCATGTAAACGTGGGTCTCCTCGATGTGCTCCGGTTTCGTCTCTGCCCAAATGCAAGCTATTAGCATAATTGGCTACTGGGGAAAACCAGTCCTTGTGTGACTGAGTGTGTGTCCTGTGATGGACTGGCGTCCCATCCAGGGTGTACCCTGCCTTACACCCATTGCTTTCTGGGATAGGCCCTGGCTCCCCCAAGAACTCCAATGAGAAGAAACGGTTGAATGGTTTTTATTCAAAATGGTTCTGGGGATGCTGGGAGTGTTAGTCCTTGAAGAGAGAGATTGTGTGTTGGTTATAGTCATAGTCTCATTTAGTTTGCTGCCTTCTGCCTCTTGGATGTTCGATGGTAACACTAGGGGAGCAGGGTTCTGTCGTCTGTCTTCCATGTCCTCTGGCGGTGATGGTGACCGGATTTTCTTGCCTGTAAGTTGGTGTCTCGACTGCCCTGCCTTGCTCAGGACACAAAGGAGCTGCCCCCAGGCTGGCATTGTGTTGCATTTCTGGTGGAGATTGATGGATCAGAGATTGTGGGGTGTGTCTTTACTTGCACCTTATTCTTCTCAAAAGGGTTGACATAAGCATCAGCTGCACTGTTTCCACGAGGTGCTTTTTCTGCAACACTCAGTAATTGGATGTCAGCCCTGCTGTGAGGGCGTCACTGTCCTCTGGGTGCTGGTAGTGGACAGTGCACTTACTGACCGGTCTGTTTGCTCAACAGAAACCTCCCCTGATGCAATTAATTTTGTCTCCAGTAGATTTCTTCAATAAATGTCTATTTACCTTTCTTAGGCAAAGTAATGGGAAATTTAGTGTTGGCTTGAATGTACTGATGGTCAGTAACGTGATATAAGCATGTTCACGTTCCCCACAGGGTTAATATTTCTCTTTGTGATCCATGTTGATACATGGGGAGGTCACTTTTTAATGTGTGTTAAAAAAAATCGCTGCTGGTGTGCTCAGATGAGTCACACAGACTAAATTTACCGGAAACACTCAGTCACCACCCACATCGCTGTGTTAGAGGAGGGGGGAAAAAGTAAAGGCACACACCTTGGACAGGAACCAAACGCATCGGTAGAAAATGTCTTGTCATGTGAAATGCCATATCTCTAAGCTCATCCACTAGGAAATGATGCAGCAGGTGTTTGTAAAATAAAAGTATTATTTAAAATAGGAAGCAACTATTGTGACTATGGCAGCAACATCTTCTTCAAGACCGTCTTTAAGGCTGCTAGCATTTAAATACTCTTGGGGAATTGTGGTGTGTCTGGGTGCTCGATACTCGAATTGTGAAAGTTAATCCTTCCTCATGTGGTCAGAAAAAGAATCATGTGATCCCGCTCATTTACAATAGATGCAAGATGCTAGACTCCGTCTCGCAAGTTCCGAGAGTTGAACATGAGACTCTAAGCTGAAATATTTATAAGCCCTGCCGGGTTGCTCTCCAGCGTTGCTGGGGTACAAGACAGTTTTGTAGTCTTGTCAAAGGTGTGCACGTGCCTGCGAAGCATCGTCGGCAGGGGTAACCTGGAAACCAGGTGTCCAGTCCCTTGTGTACCCCTATCGTGCACTTTCCCTGCGCAGTTCCTCGGTTACAGGGTATCAAGTTGTGTGGATGTTGCAGCTTCCCTGTTTGCCTATGCTCTGTGGTACCAGTGTCAGCTGAGTTGACTTTGAGTCTTTCTTTTTATCACTTATGTGTGTTGTTTTTGCTCTTAGTGGATGCTGGTTCCATAATGCTGATTTACATTGACCTTGTTTTGAAGTGCTTCTGATGTTATAGATTGCCGTCATTTAACATCAGAAACTGCCTTGTACCCCAGTGAGTCTGGCCGAATTTCCAGTAAGTGTGCTTATGAGTAGACACTATTAAGTTGCCTTTTCGGTAATTTCGTCTCATCAGCAGGTTAGCTCTTGGCCTTCCTGAGCCCTGTTACTCAAACAAATGAGATAGAAGAAGCCTGGCCTGTGATTGTTTACTGAAGAGGTCTGATTCAGGGAAAGACTCCCCAAGTCCGCAGGGTTCAAAATGAGCTTTCGAGCAGATTTTGATGACTGTGTCAAACCATTTATCTCCCTTAAAGTTGCTTTTAGTGTACCGTTGGTTTTTTGATTACCAGACCTAATGGAAGGAGTTGAATTTCACACTGCTGGGTTCTTTTGCAAGAAACAAAAAAGACTCTTTGTTGCAAAGTGAGAATGGCTGCATTCCTGGGCATTGCTGTGTTCATGTACAGTGTCCAGTTTGACACGTCAAGCCATCGGAGTCCACGTCCTACAGATCATGGGGAAACCAGTTTCTAGAGGCACTGGGCAGTGTGGAAGACCTGGAGGAAACTGGAGCCGTTTCTTTCAGGCTCTGCAAAAATTTAAAAACGGGGAAAATGGCTGATTCATGTAAGTTATGACCAAATTCTGAATTCGTGTGAGTGGAGTCTTGATCATGCAGGAGCATTTTATTCTTCTGTTGGCGTTTATAAAAACAGCGGTGCAGTATATTGAGGTAGGTGTTTGCTGAAGGGGAATATCGTGTATCGGGGTGTATCGTGTCTTGGAGGAGTGATGGGATGCACATCCCCTGAGAAGTTGCTGGGCCTGCAGGTCTGCGCAGCGGTAGCCATCTCCAAGATAAGCGCAGGTCTGCGTTTGTTGCTTCACCGCAGTGGAAATGAGGCAGGTGGAGCTCTGCTCGTTTTGTGTCGGTGTCTGAATGGGTCATCGCCGTCACTAGGACTTCTAGTGACGCAAGTCTGGCTGGGGTGCGTTCGGTGCTTGGTGTGGCTCTTAGGCAGTGCTTTTCTTATCAAGAACTGAAGCAAACCTCGGAATAAAGCTTCAGAAGAACTCTGGGAATCCACCCAACCTTCTATTCCCCTTCACACTGAGTTATTCTGTTCTCGTTTTGAAAAGCAAGCAGGTGTTCCGTCCCCAAGACGGGCTGGGCAGGGTGACGGTTTCTGGTGCAAAATGAGTTTTTGATTTGATGCCTCTTCTTCGCGTGGTAACAAATGCTTTGGCATCTGTTCTCTGCAGCCACTCAGCCTGAGAGGTGTTTTTTTTTTTCCCTTTCCCCTTCGTAATTGAAAACCCCTTGG